TATAGCCAGAGCTCTGTTAATCGTTAACACTCTATTCCAGTACTCCGGTGACCCATTTGGCTTGAATTTCTGAATTATGTAGTGTCTTTATCCAGATATTTCCTGATTTTATTCGTTACTTTGTTAACTTTCATCTATTCATCAAAGACTGCATGCGAACTGTCAGCTGGCTTAGGTATGGTGGCCATGCGATGTTGGTAGCACTGCCTGGTTGCCTCAGCACAGTGTAAACAATAGAGGAATTAGTCGAATTAACTAACCTGTTGCTGTTATCCTATTGAATATCAATATTAGATTGCATATTTAATCAAATTGACGAAATCAACCTGAGGACAATCATGAGTGTCATAAAACACTTTACGATTCGGAAAATACTTCTGGGAAAAATATCATCGTAGTGGACATATAATAAGTTCATTGTGTGGTAATGGAGGAAATATTAAACTATATGTCCTTCCTTTCTTCCTTTTCTTCTTCATTTATTTTCTCATACCTCTAACCTATTCCTTTAATCCTTTATCACCTGTTTCTCATACTTTATCCTATCTTCCTCCATCCTCATTCCCTCCTGCAGGACCATATTCACTCGCCTGACGCCCTTCGCTGAGAGTGGATCCTGACGGTCTGAATCCACGCGCGGCAGAATGCGGGTTCTCGTGACCTGAAAAGGGGCGGCCTGGAATCGATGCGCTGAATTTTTGCAATACTTTGCTTGTTGTTTCTGAATTTTGTTTGTCGGGGAGGCTTTCTTAACGTGTTTCGGAGGTTAAGGTTCGTGGGATGCGTTTCAGCGTTGGTGTAGTCCAGAGGTTCTGAACCTTTATTGGTTAGTGGCGCACTAATGATACAGCCTGGACTTGACTGCGCACTAACTATACAGTGAGTGTAATATATGTATAAGCTTGCTGCATATTCTACTGACACAAAGGTACACATTAGGCCTAGGGCGAGCCATAATATTACTACGAGTATGTGTGCACGCGTGTAGTTATTACAACGGTGAAGTAATACCGTAATAACAATGATAATAGTAATAATAGGAATAATGATGATGATATAATAATGATAATATTAATACGTATTATTATTATTGCTATTACCAATACTATTATTGTTGTTGTTTTTATTATCATATATATGATTGAATTAATGAGCACACGGGAATGAAATACATCCATTCCAGTTGTAGATTAAACATACATGATTAACGGGACGCTTTCTTCTCTGGATTTGCATATCCTTTCGACGTTTGTCAGGAGGGACACTGGACACACTCTCATTTCCTCTTCAACACCCAGCAATCCAGACCTCTTCTTAGTTTTGATGTCTGGGAGTGCTGAGAATCCTAGTTCACACAGATATGAGGTCGAGAGGTGCAGCAATATTTTTTTGACTTTTAGGGACAAGTGAGGGTGTTCCTTTTGAATATTAATCCAAAAGCTTTCTAGTGACATATCCAAGTACCCCAGTTTTAGCGTGCCGTCGTTAGGGATGTTAATTAGTTCCTCTTCTTCAAGAATACGAAGTTGTTGCTTGCCTGAGGGATCATGCACGAAAGGATTTCTTACCCATGTTGATCAGCAGATATATTAGGAAAATATTTTTCAGTATTCCTTTCTAAAATTTCAAGGTGCTCCTGTATGAGTGGAATGATGTCTGTATATTTAGCTTCAGCTGTTTTTTTTAACATATCGGCATTGCCATCACTCACCCTATCTTTTCAAAGGCTTATAATTCCAGCTTTTTCGTCAGATGATGTTAAGATATTCTCATTTTCCCTTGCATACTAGACTTAACCTTGTTTAGTTCAAATATATCCGCCAGGTAGCATAAGTTTGCGTTCCAAATTTCATCAGCCACTAGGTCACAAAATTCATGTTTTCCCTCGAGAATAAAGAAAACTAGTGTTTCCTGTCTCCGTTCATGCACTCTCGACAGCACTTTGCCTCTTGCTAGCCACCTGGCCTCTGTGTGGAACAGAAGGCCTTCGTGGGCGGACCATTTCCTCACAAAGAATGGAAAACTTGTCTGCTCTGGTCTGCTCTGTGAAGTTTACCATCTTTACAGCACTTTCGAGCGCAGGCTTTAATTCCTGTCCAAGTGTCTTTGCAGTAAGATTGTTGAAGAGGAAATGAGAGTGTGTCCAGTGTCCCTCCTGACAAACGTCGAAAGGATATGCAAATCCAGAGAGAAGAAAGCGTCCCGTTAATCATGTATGTTTAATCTACAATTGGAATGGATGTATTTCATTCCCGTGTGCTCATTAATTCAATCATATATATGATAATAAAAACAACAATAATAGTATTGGTAATAGTAATAATGAGAAAAATAATACGCATTATTATTATTATTATTATTATTATTATTATTATTATTATTATTATTATTATTATTATTATTATTATTATATCATCATTATTCCTATTATTACTATTATCATTGTTATTACGGTATTCCTTCACCGTTGTAATAATTACACGCGTGCACACATACTCGTAGTAATATTATGGCTAGCCCTAGGCCTAATGTGTACCTTTGTGTCAGTAGAATATGCAGCAAGCTTATACATATATTACACTCACTGTATAGTTAGTGCGCAGTCAAAGTCCATGTGTCTTTGATACACACACATTTGTGCGTGTATTATATATATATATATATATATATATATATATATATATATATATATATATATATATATATATATGTATATATATGTGTGTGTGTGTGTGTGTGTGTGTGTGTATCGTTATAGTTTCATTGCCGCAAATTGGATTCATGTCTAAAATTCTAAACTGAAAATATGGCGGCCAGATGCAAGGCACAAATTCAAGACATAACTAGATATCCATTTCCCGGCGCATTTGAGGGATGGCCGCGGTGCGCAGGTTGAGAACCACTGGGACTGTAGTCGAATAAAGGCGCGTCGTATATATATATATATATATATATATATATATATATATATATATATATATATATATATATATATATATATATATATATACATCACTAAATTAGTTATTGTGAACAAACCATAAAAAAAAAAATATCTCCCTGGACCTATTCAGCAATATGTAATGTTTTTTTTTTTTCCATTGCGACAACTCTTTAAACTAATTTACTCTTTTGGCAGGGAGAAGAGAGAAAAAAAAATGATTAAATACTATTAGTTCCTGTAAGATAAAACAGTAATATGGTTGCGTGATATATATTCCTAGTTCTGTATCAGCCGCTCGTGCTCTTGACTATTCGGACAATCTGTATCATTTTACTTTTGACTATTCGGACAGTCTCTGAGATCACGTGTTCCTTTCTTCTCCGAATCGACCTGCTTATTCTCGAAAAAACTCGGAGGTTTTAGGACAGTCAAATGGTGATTTCTAAAAGAAAATTATTCTGGAAAAAATACAGTTTGTTTTATGAGCATAATTAGCTACTTAACAACACATCGATTTTGGCGGTTTTGGGCCGCCATCTTGAAAACAAAAGACGTCCAATTTTTTTCTTTTTTGTTTGTCTATTCGTAGATATCTTACTTAATACTTAATTCTACAAACAATTTCTTATGAAATATGTTCTGTGTTTTTTTTCGTATATATGTTATTCGGTTTTGATACTAAAGGTGTGCATATCGTACCACTTTTAGATTTTGCATCTAGTTACGTAGTATCGTCCTAATAATAATAACAATGATAATCATTATACTGATGATAACAATTATTATCATCATTATCACAATGATACTAATAATGACAATAATAATGATAATACGACTAATGATAGTGATAATAATAGTAGTAGTAATGATGCAACAACAATCATGATAGGAATAATAATAAATATTATAATGATAACAATTATGATGAAAATAATAATAATGATCATACTAGTAATAATAATAATGATAATTATGATGATAAGGATAATGATACTAGTAATGATAATGATAATAATTATAATAATAATTAGGATAATGATAATGATACTGGTAATAATGATGATAATAACAACAAAAACAATAATCATGATAACGATAATAATGATTATGATAATAATAACGATTATGATGATGGTAATAATGATGATGATAATAATGATAATGATAATAACTTTTACCATTATCTTTATTATGATAATTATTGATATTATCATCGTTATTATTATCATCATTGTCATCACTATCATTTTACATTACTATAATTACAATGATAGTAATGATAGATAGGACAGTGAGTGATAAAAATGATAATGATAATGATGATGATAATGATAATAATAGTTATGATAATGGTGATGATGACGATGATGATAATAATAACAATAACAATAATGACAACTGTAATGATGAGGATAAAAAATAATGATGATGATGATAATGATAATGTTAAAAATGATAAATACAATTATAACAATGATATTGATAATAGTAATAATGCCAGTAGTTATAATAATGATGATGATAATAAATACCGATAATAAGTACAATAACCATAATGATAGTAACAACAATGATAATAATAGTATTAACAGTATCAATAAAAGTAATCATAATAGTAATAATAAGGATAATGATAATAATACTGATAATGATGATAATAATGCTAATGATACTGATAATGATAATAATAATGATGATAATAATGAAAATGATAATAAAACAGTGAGGATAATAGTGATAATAATAATGATAATAATAACCATGATACTACTGATAATGA